TACAGCCTGTTGTATGAGGTCCGGTCAATAGCCTTGTCTTGTTCTAATTGCTTCAGACACCCTCTTCCTGTAACCACTTCCTAGGTCCCCTTTTAGGGGCTCTGAGCAGTGACAACATTTTCTCAGGAACATTTTGTCACTTTGTCTGGTTTAGCAAAGGTTGGGGAAACCTGCAGTCAGCTGAGCCTGAAGAAGTCACTTAGATAAGTGACAAAATGTTTCTCCCACTGAAAACTCTACGTCCAGATGAACCGAATCAACCTTTTCAGACTTACTTACCTGGATCACTAAGCATGCACCAAGACACTGTAAGCTTCAAGTTTCCCCACAACAGTATCATTAGAAGGCATAGCATATATCTTCACTAGTATTAAGACGATACCTAGCTTTATCTATCCATTAGGCTAGATAATACACATCAGTTAAACTGAAGAATGGTCATAAAGACATGGGTGACCTCGAATTTCCTGCTTTTAAATCCAGATAACATGGACGTTATTGTACTTCGCACCCAAAAACTTAACCAAATGCCTTCTCTGGACGGCGTTACCTTGGCAACCCTTCACAGACAACATCCAGAATCAACTTTCTGGGATTCTGGAAAGAATATTCACAGAAACAGCCCAGAAATAGTTATGACAACTTTTTAGCATGATACTCAAAAAGAACAAAGGTCAGAGTTGCTGCCATGATTCCTTAGATATCATCACTGATCTAGAAGAAGTAATAGATGCTGTTTGAGGACGGTTATAAGGCCATTTCCAAACAGCATGAAGTCCATCATTCAACAATCAGAAAAATTATTCACAAATTGAAAAGAATTCAAGACAACTGGCAGTCTTTCCAGTCTTCCAGATGTATCTGCAAATTCACCCCAACGTCAGACTGTGCAGTTCTCAGAGAAACTGCAAAAACCCAAGAGCTACATCTCAGACTCTGCAGGCTTCAGAACACATGTTACATGATTCAGTCCTATCAGACTGTCATGAAAAGACTGTATAATTATAGCTTGGAGTGATGGTTTGTAGCTGAGCACTTTGGAAATAATTGAGACCACAAAACCCCTCTGTATGTCAAAGTATTGTATAATCAAATAAAAGGCCATCTGACCAACAGCTGAAGTTTAGTCAAAATGGGGTCATGCAGAACAACAACAGGTATGTTACTGCTGTAGATAGGGGATGGCTGAAAAAAGAAAGGTCTTAAGATGTTGCAATGGTTCAGTCACTATCCAGAGCAATGCTGGAGCCCCATCAAAGTGACCATCAGGTTCTTGGTCACCTTCTTGACTAGGACCCCTCTACCCTGTTTGCTGAGATTGGCTGAGCAGGCAGCCTTAGGAATCATGGTGATCCCAAACTGCTTCCATTTACAGATATAGTAGGCCGCTATCCTCACTGAGACTGTCGATGCTGCAGAAAGTTTTCCGTACCCTTCCCAAGAATCCTGCATCAATACAGTCTTGTCTCAGACATCTACAGACAGTTCCTTGGACTTCATGGCTTGGTTTGTGCTCTGACACATCACACACCTGATATTAAAGACAGGTGTGTGCCTAAATTTGGTAAACTAAATTTACCACAGATCCCATCAAGGTGTATAAACCGACAGCTGATCAGTGGAAACAGGATGCCCCTGAGCTTAATTTTAAGTGTCATGGCAAAGCCTGTGAATGTTACATCTTTGTTTTTTTATTGTTAATAAACTGGCATTTATTTCAATTAACCTTGTATATAATCTAGTCACCACATAGTCTTTTAAAGGCATGCAAACAAAGACACACAACCTCTCTCATTCACTTGCACACTTAAACACCCAGATGCACACACGCACACACACACCTGTATAGGCAATCTTATTCTGTGCCTTAGTGTAGCTTGCATGTATACCTGATTTGGCATTACTGTACTTGAGATCATTTCTTTATTTATGCATTTAAGAAAACGGTTTCTTTAAAAAGAAAAAATTGCAGTTTCAATATGATATGTAAATACTTCAGTAGTTTTTTGACAAATGCATGCAGTTAAATTATTGAAAAATTGTAGTTTTTAAAATGGAAACCAATGACCAGTTCCTTTTGAAACTCCTGTGATTTTCTCTGTTGAATATTTATTATTGCTCATTAATTACGCAAAAGTCTTTGCTATCCGATTACCTGATTAATCAATGGAGAAATCCCCAGAATACTCAACGACTAAAATAATCGATACCTGCAATCATCAAATGCATTCAAGGATACTTTCAAGTTTCAGATATCGTCAAAGCAGAAACACTCGAATAGTGTACACACTAGTTGCTGTCTCACCATATGGGTCCAAACTTTTCCAGGGCATCTATCAGGTCTGCCTCCACCACAGCCTCACACAGACCCCGAACGTGCACCACGGGACTGGGAGAGATACGATGGGAGTCCTCGCCATTATCCTGGAACA